CCAGCATGGGATAAACTTACGTCACGGGCCGGGAAGACAACCCTGGCTGGGAAGTGGGTCAGCCCATGGAGCACGAGAGCATCGTTCTCAGTATCTCTGGAGTGTATGTGTGCGGACGGGGGAGAGGGCGCTTGGCTCCCCTGTGCCGATTTATGCACAGGTTTAGAGATGAACGAGCCCAGCCAAGCCAGTTAGCACACACAGCAATTAGTGCCTCACTCCTGGGCAAGGCAGCCAAGAGATTTCGGAGGGCACTGGAGTGGCAAGGCAGCGCAGCGACAGCCTGCGCTAGCTCTCGCTGCGGAGACTGAAGATAACCGCCGCCGCTGGCTTCTCACGCACAACGCCAACGTTGACACACTTAAACTTCATCTCCACGCTGCGGGTCTGGCATGCATTAAAGCTGCCTTCGAGTCTCCCATCTTCTGGTATTTGGTGCTGCTGCCTCTTCCCCTGGCCCCGGATGTATGCTATCCTGCAGCCAGCTCGAAGGCAGAACTGGAAGAGCAACCCCTCCAGACCCCTCGGGTCCAACAGCTGAATATCATGAGCCTGGGGAGTCATCAGGACCGTTCCCGAATGATCCACAGGCCTGGCAATGCTGCGGGTGCCTGACCTGGCTGCCAGGCAGTCACCAGCACCAAACCCACAAAAAGACGGTTTGAGGACAGTCTCCTTTGGAAATTTCCACTGGCAAAACCAGATTCACAACAGCAAGTTCCTGCAGACCTTGGGGTGCCCTTCCCCTGGCCTAGCCCCTGCAAGGGGGGGAGGGGAGCACATATGATGTCTGCATGTTGAAAAGGTGGTGGCAGGAAAGTCAGGGCTGAAAGTGGACTCCCTCCAGCAGCTCGCCAGCTAGCCAGCTAGAATTAGGCCTTCTGATTTTGGTGTAGAGACCACAATGGCAGGACTGGCTCAGCAGTGAGGATTGCCAAGCACCAGCAAGAAAAAGCTCAGGACTTGAAGCTGTCAGAGCACAGCAAGGATACACCACAGACATGCCTCTTCCCAGCTGGGCAGAGACCGGGGCTGCCCAACGCGCATGTTCACACACCCCTTCACCTCATCCTCCAACACATCCTTTCACATTCCTGACTCCAGAGCCGGATCAAAGAGTGCTTCCAGCTCGATTCACTCTCTAACCCTGTCTGGAGAAGGACCCAGTCCAATACCCTGACTGCCACCTCCGCACCAGACACCCCTTTCCCCCAGGCTGGGCCCTCCTGCTCTGGGCAAGGCACTGGTGAGAACACAGCAGCTCACTTGGCAAAGAAGGCCTCCCGACCTTACTGCTGCCAGCATCCAGGACAAACAGCTTGTTTTGTCAGTGCATGGAAAGCCTGCGACATTCCTGATGGCACCACACAGAAGGATGAGTTAGGTGTTTCCTTGGGCTAGCCAGCAGACAAGGAGATATGGATTTACTGGTGCTTCAAACACTCAAGGGCTTTGAGTGATGAGGGGGATTTCCAGATAAACTTTAAGCTACTTACAGCCTCTGCAAACTCTCTGAGATCCTCTGATGAAGATGAGTAACATGAGTGATACTAAGAGAACCATACAAAGCTGGAGACAGGCAGCATTAAACCACATGTCTCCATTTTCTCCCTTCTTCCTGCTAGCCTTGGCTTTGCTGAGAAGTCCTAATTGGCCATGAAGCTACAGAGACAGGGTCAAGTGCTGCAGACATACTCCCAAGTTGCAAAAGATATTTTGTCATCTTCCACCCTCATAGGTCAGGAAGCAGATCTCAGAAACCCTGGGTAGCCAGAGAAATCCCAGAGCATTTTCAGGTGGAGCTGGAGCAGTTACGTCGCTTGCGTGGATGGCGGACACGCCTGGGAAAATCCATCAGGAAAGAGGGTCCACTTACCCACGGAGGTGCTGTCCCCTTGGAGAGAGTGACGAGGTCCACCTCAGAGGTCAGAGCCCCCTCGCTCGCCCTGTTTGAAAGATGCATTTAGGCTTTGCTCTTCGTAAGAGTAGCAGCTCTCCTCCCCTGGCCTTGGAAGGGCTAGAGGCCATCAGTACATAACTACTCCTTCTGTCCCTGCACCCCAGCAGCCACGGCAAAGCACAGAGGGACTCGGTCGGCAGCGGGCTCTTCTCAACGACCGTCACAACGCACAGCACCCTACAGTGATGCTGCAGCACATGCTGGCCCTGGGGACTGTTTTGTAACCTCCCTCTGCACAGGCTTCCCAGCACAGCCCTCCTCTCTCCCTTCCTGGGCACACCTGGCTCTTCCACAAGCCTTCGACTGCAGAGAAGGGAAGGAATGACACTAGCTAGGGGAAAAGAAGCTCAGCGTGCTCCAGCTCACTCCTCGGGGTCCCTGCTGAGGGGACAGATGAGCCACGAAGCAGCCGGAGAGGCGCACAAAATCAGCATCGCAGATAAAGGGAGCGACGAGGCACCAAGCCTATCTGCGTGCTCCTGTTATCATGGACATGCTGCTGCAGCGACAGCACCTTATCGCTGGTGTTAAGCCAGGGCTCCTCACTGTCCCATTGAGGTCCCCGCAGAGCCCAGGTTGCACTTTGAGGCTCCTGGCTCTTCCCCCAAACCCAAGAACCCCTGGAAGAGCAAGCCCACGAACACAACCTTCCTCACGTGCCGAGATCGGCACTGTCCAGGTCTCCAGGCTGTGCAGAGGCAGGAGGAAAGGGCAGGCAGGGCAAGGATCCACTCTCCAGACCTGTTAGCCACAGAATTTGGAGCACTCCTCTCCTTGCAGCAGTACAGCAACTTGGGCAGATCCCCAAGACCCCCAGGCACGTGTCCTCCCGAGTGGGTTCAGTGTGTCGGCGGGTCCCCTCATCCCCACCCTCAAGACACCCTTCAAAAGGAGCAGGGATAGTCACAAGCAGCAATGGCAAAGCTCCTCTCCATTTACCAGAGTGCTGCTGCTTCAGCACTTTCCAGTGGCTAATGGAGTGGCTCAGTGCCGCGAGAGGAGCGGGTTGATGGGGAGGCAGCGGGGAAGAAGTGAGTAGCCCTGCTGTACATTAACCAGTTGCAATGGGAGATCAGCAGGAATTTTAGCAATCTTGAGGTGGCTTGCTTCCCCTTCCTCTTGGTCTCCAAGTCCTCCATTAACCGCTTACACTGAGAAGAAGAACGCAAAAGTTTAATGAGCTCCGACAAGTTTTCAGAATGCTTTTTAAGCATCCACTGCTCCTTTTGCTATTAATTAGCAACGAGGAAGAACCACCACCGGGAGAGGCTTCAGCACAGACTGAACGACTCTCGCTGCTGCCCGCGCACGCTTCGGCACAGCTCAAACGCTCTCAGAGAGCCCCAAAAGAGGCACCAGAGAAACCCAGTTCTTGCAGCGCTTCCCATAGCTCACACTGCAATCTTCCAAGGGCACCAGCTTTAACTTAGCATCACACTAACTCACTTGAGCGGCCGGAAAAAGCTTACTCCATTTTGCAGCTGGTTTATTTTTATGAACAGGTTTTTGCCTCTCAGTGCTGCAGTTTGAGAACTATCATTTAATGTAACTGATAGTCTCTGACCGACCACCTCTATGTACAGATTAGCTGTGGGCGGGGGTTCTGAAACAAACCCCTCCTCGCTCCAGGACCAGGTGCAGCAGAAGGCCCCGTGGCACTCATTCGCACAGAGGCTTGTGGAATACCTGGAAGGACGCTGCGCCTTAGTCTCTGTGTTTAAAAACCAGAGTAGCGGCACAGTCTGCGCAAGGTCACAGACCAAGAAAGTTTGCAAAGGCGCTGGGTCTCATTGCCAGCGCTCCATGCCAGCCAGCCCTCCCTATCTGCCAGGGAGGACTACAAGCGCCTGGCTTATCTGGATCAATAGGAACCTGGCCTGGGGCATTCCACCACTGAGGATGTAAGGCAAGACATACAGCTTTGATTTAACTGAGAAGAGCAGCCCCCGGAGACTGGGTAAAGAGGAAATATCCCAAGACGGAAGTAGGAAAATGGGCCCTGCGAGCCTCATTTTGCACTTTGTTCTTGTCCACTGGTTCAGTTTCAAGCCTTCCTGAAAATGAGGCGTTGTCCCAAGGCATATTACGAAATTCCCAGACCACGTCATGCAAGGAGAACACTGACAGCCTTTGCAAGGGGGCTGGGTGGGAGAGAAATCCCAGACTATTCCAGGAAACGCAAGGAGACATCCCTGAAATGACTTCCCCTCTAGCCAGAAGGGGAGGGGAAGACCTCCCACCTCGCTCCCTGTACCCAGCCAAAACTAGGTCAGTGACACAGCCCTGCGCGCAGCCAGGGCTCCTCTCCAGACACCAGGACACGCGAAGGGGTCCAGCCAGAAGGGTGAGGATGGGGGCAACCTTGCCCCCTCCCTTCGCCTGACACGTTTCTTGCAAGAGAACCCAGCCTGCTCCCCAGCCCTGTTAAAGAGGCAGGCAGTTCCTCCTTTGCTTCCTCCCCAGCACCGCAACGGTGCCAGCTGGCTTGAATGAGAAAACCTGCTTTGGCCTCTCCCCAGCCCTTTATCAGACGAAACAAGGGAAAAAGATTCCCACACCTCGCTTCCAAAGGCCGCCTCTGCCCCTTTCCCAGTTTCTAAGGCATAGGAACCGCTATACCTGACCGGCGCTCTCCAAACCCCTTCAGGAGAGGCACGAGGAGCTCAGCCACGTCTTCAAAACCAAGGGCTCGAGCTACAGCACTCTCAGACCACTTTCCCCCAAGTCGGGCGGGGGGGGGCAGGGGGTGCCACATCCACTGCTTCGCACCCCAGAGCCAAAACACCTCCCTTTTTGGAAGCCTCCTCCCTCCACAGCCCCTTCCTCCCTTGACCTTGACGCAGATGCCAGCCCCAGCGCTCACCCACCCGTCCACGCCGGGGAGAGGACGGGGGGGTCATCCTTCGGGCTTGGCACGATGGGGCTTGACCGGCCGGCCAAGCGGGAGGCAGCCCCCCACCGCCCCCTCGCTCCTCGCCGGGCGAACGTACCTACGGAGGGAAGGGAAACCGGGGGAAGGCTCCGGGGAGCCGGCACTCACCGCTGTGCGAGCTGAACCACCGCGGCGCGATGTGGAGGGGCAGCGCGTCGGCCAGCGAGGCCCTGGCGCCCAGGTACAGCATCCCGTCTCTATGGTGACCGCCTCCCGTCTCCTGGTAACCGTTGCCATGGGCGTACGTGGAGTCGGAGCCCGGACC